CCCTGGATTCTCACTTCCCAAGGGTATCAACGCCATTTTACCTATCTTCCTGCAGGGTCTCATGAACGGCTCGGTCGACCAGCGAACTCAAGCTGCTCTGGCGATCTCCGACGTTATCGACCGCACCAGCGCGAAGTCACTCCAGCCGTTTGTTACTCAGATCACAGGACCTCTTATCCGTGTGGTTACAGAGCGTTCTGTCGAGGTCAAGGCAGCAATTCTGCTCACACTCAACAACCTGCTAGAGAAGATTCCGACCTTCCTCAAGCCCTTTTTGCCCCAACTCCAGCGCACGTTCGCCAAGTCGCTTGCCGATACATCCTCTGATGTACTGCGAGCGCGAGCAGCCAAGGCTCTTGGTACATTGATCAAGCTTACACCAAGGGTGGATCCACTCATCGCTGAGTTGGTGACCGGATCCAAGACAAGTGACGAAGCTGTCAAGACCGCTATGCTGAAGGCCTTGTTTGAGGTTGTAAGCAAGGCAGGCAAGAACATGAGCGAAGCAAGCAGGAACGCCATCTTAAGTCTCATCGATAACGAGAGCGATGATTCTAATGGTAAGTTTAGACTCATTCTGATCCTACCTATTGTGACTAACATGGCGTAGATGCAATGGCAATTACAAACGCTCGACTTCTAGGTGCCCTGATCAGCTGCCTTCCCGAGGATGTCGCGTCCAGTCTCCTCAAGGCTCGCGTGCTTACGACCCACTACAACAAATCTTCTGTATTGGCGCTCAACGCCATTCTGCTAGATGCTCCCGAGGCTCTGACAGAATCGTTTGCAGACGAGACTGTGAATGTTATATGCCAGGGTATTGGACACTCACAACCGTTCATCTCGGATAACTCTATCCTCGCTGCTGGCAAGTACCTTCTGTCGGAGAAGAGCAGCAAGAGCTTCGACCACACCAAGCCAATTTTCGAGGCTCTTGCCCCAGTAGTCGAGCCCGGCCATCCTGTCGATACGAGGCGTTTGGCGCTTGTGGTGCTTCGCACAATTGCTCGAGAGCACAACGAATTAATCCGTCCGCATATCCCGATCCTCATACCGGTGGTCTTCGCGTCGGTGCGCGATCCGGTGATCCCAGTTAAGCTGTCAGCTGAAGCGGCGTTCCTTGCCATCTTCTCGGTGGTAGACGAGGAGACGGCCGTATTCGACAAGTACATGGCTGGACCTGGCAAGAGCCTATCTGCTGGTCAACAACGCAGCATGGGCGACTACTTCAAGAGGGTTGCCATGAGGTTAGCTGGGCAAGCCAGAGAAAGGAAGGAGGCCGAAGGTGGCGCAGGAGGTCTCGGCTTGTCGAGCGACGAGATGGAAGATGAGCGAGAAATTTGGAGTGTAGGGAAAGTAGAATTGGGAGATGTGTTTGGTGAAAACTAGCGATGCGGTACAATGGCTGGGACGGTGTACATGGCATAAAAGCGACTGCACTAGCATTGGGACGGGAGCGTTTGTTAAAACGAATCGTGTTAGCAGACAAGTGCGTAGCAAATGAAATTTACATTGAATGTTGTGGGACCGAAAGGAAGTGTGCATGTGGTGGAGGTTTCATGGGTCTCTTCGATGTTGTTAGGCTGCCCCAGCATCAACTCCGCAAACCCCCGAGCTCTGACCTCACGCTCTCCACGACTGCATGCTTGTCCATCAGCGTAGGCCCCGCACAACGCCTGCTGTTCTTGCCCGTCATCGGGGATCATTATTGAGTACTCGTGCGATCCCGCTGGCACTCTTGAAGCGTCGCGCAGACCCCGGCGTCGCTCTCCCGCCGCTCTCTGCCTTCTCCACAGCCCGCACGCGCATCTGTCCTGCCGCGCGACGAGCTCGCAACGCGCACACCACGACGCATTGAGCGCCACCACGGCGCGCTTCCACCGCCATCATGGCAGGCACCATACGGCCCAATGACATGAACGTCTCTACCACGCCGACGCTCTCGTCGGGCACCCTGCCCAGCCTCACATCCCTCCAGACCGATCTCACCAAGAAGCCCAACGCGCCGCGCGCGCCCCGTGTAGACGTCGAGCCCTTGTACGCCGCAGTCAAAGGCTCCATAAGCGATGCAGACTGGACCATCTACAAGAAGGCCCTCTCCTTCTTTCTCCTCGGCAACCTCAACCAGGAGGAGCTGTCGCACAAGCTATCCAAGATCCTCACTACACCTGCCCTCGAACACGCGCACAATGCGCTCTTCACAGCCATATACGCTAACATATGGCGCGACCCACCCGAAGCAGGCATTGCGAGTTGGGTGTCGAGTAGTGATAAGCCGACTAGCGGGACGGTCAAGGGGACAGGGGATGAGAGCGAGAAGAGACTAAAGCATGAGGTCATGCAATTAAGCCGGAGGGAGAGAAAGAGGCTGAAGGGTATACCGGCAGGCGAGAGCCCGCTGAGTACGGGTCTGGAGGGCCTGGGCGCGGGCGCTGCTGGGCCGGTGCAGGAGTATGTTGACGCGCGACGGGCGAAGCAGCTCGATGTTGGGCCGAGCAGCAATCAGGGTGGTGGATTTGGGAAGACAAGTACGTATATGACATTTGCTATACCCCTCACTCACTTCATAAAAGCTGTTCATATGCTAACGCAACCTGTCACCAGACTGGGAACTCGAGATTCGAAAACGGTATACCTCAGCCCTCTACGCTGAGACGCACGAATTCCCCACCGCAACGACGATATCGTACCGTCTTCTTCCCATCTGCTACGAGTTCGGACTGCCTCAAGGCCACACGTCCGATTGCCCAGACTACCTCAACATCGCTACCGAGACATACATAAAAGAAGCACTGGCAAACTTACTAGGCAAAGTGAGCACTAACGGCCCTGGATATGTGCGCACAGGCGAGTTCAAGAAGAAGCTTGCGAGAGAGGAGAGATTGGTAGAACGCGGCGAGCTGGCACGAGGGATCGGAGGCGAACTCCCCGTCGAAGCAGAAGAGCGACGAAAGAGGAAACTCCTGTGTATGGAGGACTTGAGACTCGCGCTGGAGCTCGGGGACTCGTACCTCGGACAAACACCACTGATTGCGGGATCGATAATGAACTCGAGGTTTCTGGACACGCACGGCATTGAGGACATCTACAATGGGCCCGCAAAACCGCTTACGAATGGTACTCTCACAAATGGTATCAATGGTATCACAAATGGGACAAAGCACGAGCTCAACGGCGAGACATGGACCATTGACTTTGGCGACCCGATGCAGATTGATGACGAAGTGGGCATGCACTGGCAAGGAGGCAGCGTACAAGATATGCAAGAGATGGACGATGCGCTTGACGATATTCTGAACCTCGGAGACCTATAGGAAGGCCATGAAAGCGAATGATAGAGGGAAGGAGCATAGAGGCGTTTCTGAGCTTCGGCATTTGGGCGGCGCATGTGGGATTTGCATTTCGGTGTCTGGGTGTAGCTATGGGATGATACCCTGTCTTTTGCTTGTTGTCTCATTGGATCGGTGGTCGAAATTATGGCTCGCGGTGTATCTCGCTGAGCGTTCTTGTTCGTGTAGGAATTGGAGAACAGTTATATCTCAATAGCGTCGGGCGCGTGTTGCATGGAAACTCGTCGATTCATTGCATGATAGCCCGGCAATCCCATACCATGACCCTCTCGTCCCACCCCGTACTAGCACACCAGCCCTCCGCGCCAAACAGACACCAGTCGACACCTGTAACGAACTCGGTATGTCGACCCATCCTCCCCATCTCCCTACCTCCACCATAGAACATAGGATCCTCCAACATGTTCTCTTGCTTCACACTACCCACACCCATGGCACTCCCGTCCGTCCACACCCGACACGTCATATCGTAACTCGCACTAAGCAATATATCGCTCAAATGCGGACTCCAACTCAACTTCCGAACCGCATACTCGTGTCCGGGCAACACAGCAACAGGCCCCTGCTGCGGCATCCTAATATCGAACGTCCGTATCACGCGATCGACACCCGCCGTCGCAACAATAGTATCCCGGTATTTATTCCAATCATGCGTCAACGCCTCCGCAGGCGCAACACCGACACCCGGCGCGTGTCCCATCCGCGCTTTAGGCGGCTGATGAATCGGCACACTCATCGTCAAGTGATTACTCGCACTCGCCGGCGTCCTCAGATCAAACACCCGTAAATGACTATCGCTGCTCACACTTGACAGCACACTAGGACTGTGCGGACTGAAACTCGCAGAGTAGGTACATGAATGTGTCGGCAGTGTGGTTATGGAGGCGTTGGAATTCGGATTCCAGATCTTGATTGTACCGTCCCAGGAGGAGGACAGGAAAGTGTCTTTAGCAACGAGGTTCCAGTGTACGGCGAAGACTTCGCGCGCGTGCTCTTGCCAAGATGCGATGGGGTAGGTTGGTACGTTTATGTCGAAGAGCTTTACGGAGCCGTCGCCGCCGGCGGTGAGGAGCTGGTTCTCGTGCGATTCGGACCAGGTGCTGTCGAAGAGCGAGTCTTGCGTGTCGAACCTGGGCGTGGGTGGGTTAGCATGTGATTGGGAAGCGTTTGGCTTGTACTATGGTGACGGGGTTAATAGAAGTACCATTTCTCGGCCACTATGCCATTTGCTGTAAGGCCTAATATGTAGAGTCGTCCGTTTCCGACGAGCCCGAAATTGGCGGACGTTGCGACGGCTATGCGCGAGTCGAAGAAGGGGCTGTACTTGACTGAGTAGCCGTTGAAGCCTTGGGTTCGGAATTCGAGCATAATGGATGGTGAAGGGGGGCGATTTGGGATTATGGCGCGTGGAGGATATGTATGATACGGCGCGTCATGTCGCGCCGGGACGTGGAGTTGGTGTTGTGCTGCAGCATGGTTGCGGATGACGAGGTGTCGATTGACCGAGGCGCCCTTGGGTTATGGCGGGGCTGGTGTGGCGCCGGTTGTCCCGTGACAGCGCGTCTTTCTTGACGCCAGTCGCCACTGTCAAAGGACTCTATCTACTTCGGCCGTCCATAATGAGTGCCATTGCAATCCACACCAACCAATATGGATACGTTCGTGTCGCGCAAGAGGAAGTGGGTTGAAGGGCCACCCACATCAGTGGCGAGCACAGGCACGCGGCCTTCGGAGGATAAAGACCCAGAAGAAGAGTCTACCGATTTCAAGCTGGCCTTGCTGGCATCTCTACATCCTACAATTGATGAAGCGACCTTGCTTGAGGCATTGCTCGCCTCCGATGGGGCTGTTGAAAAAGCCTCAGATTGCCTATCGCGGCCTCAGGTTACATCCCCAAGAAAGCGACTCGCATCGTCTACAGTGGGCTATCAATCATCCCTGAGCTCCTATCGCATTTCTCCAGCCAACGGCACGTTGACTAAGAAGCCACTTGTACGAAAAGGGAAGACGCTTTTTCTCTATAGCCCAGAAGACATCGAAGCACATACGCCTTGTTCCATTATACATAATTTCCTTCCGGTAGAGCAAGCGGATGCACTGCTGTCACAACTACTGGAAGCCTCGTCGACCTACGACAGGTATGAGTTCAAGCTATTTGACAGAGTCGTCGTGAGCCCGCACACCTATTCCTTCTACGTCAACAGCTTAGAAGAGGCGGAAAGACAAAAGACAGAATACATCTACAATGGTGGCCAGATCGAGGTAAGTAAGTTCCCAAGAGACTAACACAAGATGTTGATTCCATTTAGGATGTCCGACAAAGCTTACCAGAAATGCTCAACGCATGCCCCCAAGTCGAAGATGCCGTCAACCGTGAGATCCAACGCAGGATCCGCGACTTTTACCCCGACGGCAAGAAACTCAAGTACCAATCCCCTCGCCCCTGGAAAGCCAACACTGCCTTCGTCAACTGCTACGACGGACCACAAGAAAGCGTCGGATACCACGCCGACCAACTCACCTACCTCGGTCCACGAGCCGTCATCGGCAGTCTAAGCCTCGGAGTAGCGCGCGAGTTCCGGGTCCGCAAGACTGTCGCTGAAGACGACTCGCATCGAAAAGCCGATGGATCTCTCGCGGATGCACAAGGCCAGATCAGCATCCATCTGCCGCACAACTCACTCTTGGTGATGCATGCCGAGATGCAGGAAGAATGGAAGCACTCAATCGCGCCGGCTCAAGCCATCGATCCTCATCCACTCGCGAAGAACAAGCGACTCAATATCACATATCGGTTCTACAAGGATAGCCTACATCCGAGGTATACGCCGAAATGCAAGTGTGGTGTTCCGACTGTGTTGAGGTGTGCGACGAGGAAAAAGGAATCGAGGGGAAGGTACATGTGGATGTGCCATGCGGGATACGTGCCGGGTCAAGAGAGTTGCAGCTTCTTCCAGTGGGCTGAGTTTGATGAAGATGGGGAGCCGCCGTGGGCGTCGAGGGTCAAGAAGGAAGGAGGGAATTTGAATGAGGAAGGCCAGGTGTTGAAGACGGCAACCGACAGTGCTACGTCGGCACATGCCTCTTGAACCGACGGCAGCACTTGTCATCTATTAACTAAACAGGAACCTCGTTCATACACCGCCCTTAATTGTAAGGTGCGGCTCTAGACGAGTCAAGCGCAGCCGCAGCTTGTATTCTAGCTCGCCTGTCATCACAAACAACCCTCAACTTTAATCATCAAGGTGTAGCAGCCTCCATTTTTGGGCATCCATATTGTTACGAAAAGTATACCGCCTTCGGTAAGCCTTACTACAAGCACCCATATTCCTTTGCATGGTACATTATCGTCAGCACGCTTCATCACAGCCTCGCAGCCCAGAAGACATCCGAACCTCCTCTACCACCGCATCGATCGACTATGCCGCCTCTCTTCCCCCACCAAGCCGTCATGTTCCAATTATACACAGCCACGCCACCCTACAACGAAATGCTAGATAGTTTCCTCACAGGCTATCTCTGGGGCTGTCTTCTGATAACATTGTTCCTCTTCACGTATTTCGCCATCAGCTTTTGCGCCTGGGTGCTCTCGGCGGTCTTAGCTACAATCGACAAGATACTTGACTACGCACGAACATACTATTATTGCTCGGATGCTAGTACCGATGTCGAGAGCATAGCTCCCATTTGGCTCGGGAAATACGCTACTGAGAAGTTGGAGCAACTCGCCAGACCGAATGAGATTACCAGGGTCAAATGCGCACTGCACGAATATGACACGGCCCTCCAAGACGCACCTTTGACGGACGAGATACTCAGATCGCCCCTGGAATATATCATGCCGATCAGCCATGCCGATCTTACCAAGGAAAGCGCTACACCCCCGGTATCTTCCTAACATACTCGTTCAACCAGCCCACCGCCTGCAAAAAAGCCTGTTCCTTGGCAAACCTCGCCTTCGCGTGCGACAAGTCACCTTTAACACCGAACCCATGCTCGACATCCGAATACAGGAACATCTGGTACGGGGCGGTGTGATCTTTGAGAATGTCTTCCGTCTCGCGGCGCTTCTCAGCTGGGAAGATGGAATCGGTTTCTGGGTTTTTCGTTATCGTCAGTGCGTTCTTCTTGTTCTTGTTTTGGCAGTTTGGTATTCGTAGAAGATGAAATAGGAGGTGTGTGGTTGAGAGTTTTACCTGCAGCAGCGATACTCAACGGACCCTTGATATTTCTGACTTCTTCTTCGTCGACGAAACTGGGGTGGGCGGTGAAGCCCGCGTCGATACCGCCGTTGCTTAGTCCTCCTTCTTTTAGAAATCGACATACGTATTTACCGCCGAAGCAGTATCCTATGCCGCCCAATCTCTTTACTTCTAACTCGTCTCGCAGATGTTTGATGACTTTTTCGAACATGGGATCTACAGTGTCGGTCTTGGGCATCGTCGTCTTGATATACTCTTGCAAGTCAAACGACTCTGGAACGGGGAATGGCACTTCGCTCCCATTGAAGACGTCTGGGATGACGGTTAGGTATCCGTTTTGGGCGAATTGGTCGGCGATGAGTTGGATGTTGGGGAAATCCATGCCGAGGACGTCGGTCATTATGAGGATGGCGTTTTCGGGTTTGGGGTTGTCGGGTGGGTAGGTGGCGTATGTGCGGACTGGTGTGTGCATTAGATAATATGGCTTGTGGAATAGAGATAGATGGATGTATACTGTTGTCAATGTGTTTGATCTGTCCTTGTGGCTTGCCTTCGTGCTTTACGCCCACGACGCAGCAACGCTGCATGGGGTTAGAAGCCATGGTGTGAGATTGGGATGATAGGTAAGTTGTGAAGAATGTGCGCTTCTCTCAATTACTTGTACGTAGTTCCCTGATCGTGACTCAGACTTAGATGATGAGGTTTATAGCTTTGAGTCGGATACAGCGCCCCACCTGGGAGTGCAGCTCGGGGTCGGTTAACGACAGGGGTTCTTGCGCCCTAAGATGTACACTAGCAATTATCTCCGGATGAGAGCTTCCGATGCTTCTTCGTCACGAATCGCTGTTGGGCTGTTAAACAACCTGCTGTGTCAGGCCTGAAGGGATTATCTTCGAAATGGGCAGACTTGAAGAACTTGGCGCGCAGCACGGGACAGTTCTTGCTGCAGGCGTGCTCGATTTCGTGAAAGTATGACGTTCGTAATTACAAAGCTTCTATGTATCCCGTATGTACATGTTCAATTCAAACACTAGACATGTTAGTATGCACAGCCTTGCTCTGCTCTGTGATAACACATACCTCATTTTCTCGTCTGCATACATGTAACTCCTCAATGTCTCACTCGACTGACGCTTCGCCTGGTAATCCTCTCATCCACATAACCACTTCCACGTGGGTCAATGTAGCTGGTCCTTGCTGGCCTGACAATCTCAACATCGCTAACGCGGCGTCTGGATACACTCCTCGCACGGCTTCTTGCACGTATGCGAGGCTCTTCGACATACTCAATGGCACGAGGACGGGATCGCGATCGCCTGGGTGATGTAAGTATGATGTAAACCGATGCTGCCATTTAAAGTGGCTACGAACCTGTACTCGACGTAACGGCCGTCGTCGCTGAAGCTCTCGACAGATGTCCGGCGCCATTCGCGCGGTAGACGCATCACGCCGGCTGGTGGATGGGACGTGTAGTTTCCTCGTCGCGGTGGTGGGTCAACGACACCGCGACCGCGAGTTTCGTATGACCTCATGATACACATGCTGATGGTGTTTGACGCCCTTGCTCTTCCGTGATGATGATGGTGACGACGATGTTGAGGATGCAGGCTACCGGATGCCGGGTTCCCGGGTGATGACGTTGTACAGCGAACGACGCGACTACGGCTCGCGAAAGAAGCGCAAAGAGCCAAAGATGAACGTTTAGTTATGCACAGAAAGTTAATATAAGACGAGGAGTAGATCAGTTTAATCTTAAGATGTCAACGCGACTTGCAACGGGCGGAAATGACGTGCGCCAAGGGTCTGCCGGGGCATTCCAAGGTTGTTTTGTCTGCCAGCCTCTTTAATTCGCAACCCGATATTTGTATGCAGTCGGCGGTGAATTGCAAGCATTGACGCATGATTCTGGGATGTATCCTTGATCCAGGGACGCATTTAGTGAATGTCGGCGGTACTTGGTTCTAGACCTGCCCTCGACGATGAAATGTCGCGCTGGCTGGAGAAACCCAGCAAGCCAGTCAGCAAACGAAGCGCGGTTTGACGGCGCTGAAGACTCGGATTATCAATTGGTACCTGGAGTAAGATGTGAAGTAGCTACTCCCGCGTCGAGCTGTCGCGGAGGAGCCACCCCCACCTGCCCCGCGACTCGTGGCTGGTCGCTGAAACGTAGGCGGTGACGAAGCAGAGGCCACCGCCAAAGCTGCCGGCTACAGGCAGACATCCTCTCTAGTCGACATAGCACGTACCCTTTGCTACCTCACTGTCCTTTGAACTGCGCGCACAATGTCTCTAGTATCAGGTATGAGCTCCCGGACAGCTTCTGCATAGCAGCTACTAACCGTAAACAGACGCCATCTGGGCGGCGTCCCCTTCGACCACGCGCGGACAGGCAACTCCTCTCTCCTCGGACCCCAAGGGTGAACGGATTGCCTATGCCGTAAGCCTACCGACTACGCACAGCTTCCGCGGAGCTAATTGAACATGTAGTCGGGCAAATCCGTTTTCCTCCGCTCCATCGACGACCCGGCTGTTAGTAAACAATACACCCAACACACGACGCAGACGACTGTCGCCCGCTTCTCGCCCTCGGGCTTCTATGTTGCCAGCGGAGATGTCTCGGGCACCGTCAAAGTGTGGGACTGCGCAGGTGAAGGAGCTACAAAAGGTGGGTGAGGCGTAGCAGGATACAGAGCGAGGAAGCTGACGGCGAGGCAGGCGACTACCACATCATCGCGGGCCGCATCAACGACTTGGCATGGGACGGCGACTCGCAGCGTATCATAGCTGTCGGCGACGGCAAAGAGCGCTTCGGCCACTGCATCACGGCAGACAGTGGCAACAGCGTGGGCGAGATCTCAGGCCACTCGTCACAGATCAACTGCGTGTCCATTCGCCAGCAGCGACCCCTCCGCGCCGCCACGGGCTCCGACGATACCAGCCTGGTCTTCTACCACGGCGCTCCCTTCAAGTTCAACACCAGTCTGAGAGGACAGCACAACCGCTTCGTCTTCGGCACCGCCTTCTCCCCCGACGGTTCCGTATTCGCAAGCGTTGGCGCCGACAAGCGCATATGGCTATACGATGGCAAGACCGGCGAGGCAAAGGGTCAGATTGGCGAGGGTGTACATACTGGCAGCATCTTCGGCGTGTCTTGGTCCAAGGACTCGAACAAGTTCGTCACAGCCAGTGCGGACCAGACGGTCCGGATATGGGACCCAGAAGCAGGCAAGAACATTCAGACCTGGAGGATGGGCGAAGAAGGCGTCGCTAGTATACCCGACCAGCAGGTTGGTGTAGTATGGCCCACAGGCCGCAGTGATGGTCTGATCGTCAGTGTCGATCTCGAAGGAAACCTGAACTACCTCGTCGACGGCAACCCAAAGCCAACGCGCATCATCCGGGGCCATTCCAAGAACATTACATCGGCTGCGATCGCTGGATCTACCTTCGCCACGGGAAGCTATGACGGCCGTGTCCTCGCATGGGACACCACCACTGGATTGGCTGACAAGGTCGAAGGCGCAGCACATTCCAGCTACGTCGCTGGCATCACGACTTCCGACAGCAAGAATGAGGCGGAGTTGTATAGTGTTGGCTGGGATGACACATTACGCTCCATGTCGGTTCCAGACAAGATCTTCACTGGCGAGGCTCACGATCTCAAGTTCCAACCAAAGGGCGTTGCCGCGACATCGAGCACCGTGCTGATCCCTTCTACCGATGCTATCGCAGTATACTCCAAGGGTGCCCAAGTCAGCTCGTTACCAGTCAAGTTTGCGCCTACCTCGATCGCGGCGCACGGCTCCACGGTCGCTATTGGCGGAGACGATAAGCTAGTACACATCTACACACTCTCTGGCACTGAGCTCAAGGAGTCAGACACAGTGCTCCGCCGCGCAACTGCACCCATCTCCGCCCTCGCCTTCTCAGCGTCAGGCAAGAAGTTGGCAGTGGGTGCTGGAAACGGAAAGATCTACGCATTCGAGGTGGGCGGAGACTGGAAGGTTATTACAGACAGATGGAGTGCCCATACCGCACGCATCACCTGCCTGGCCTGGGACGAGAGTGAGAACTATGCCGCAAGTGGCAGTCTGGACACCAATGTAATGGTCTGGAGCACAGAAGACCCTGGCAAGCGTATCAAGGCACTCAACGCTCACAAGGATGGAGTCAATGGTATCGCATGGGAGAAGGCTTCCAAGGTCATCTCGGCAGGAGGCGATGCTAGCATCAAGGTGTGGAGCGTGAAGGCGTAAGACGCCAGACCACATAGTTGAGAATTGAGCAAAAGGAATTAACGATCGATCATGGTAATCATGACGGAAACCAACTTGAGATTGGCGAGTGATGGCTGGCTTTTGAAGGACCTCGATCATAGGGGAGGCGGTCGGGTGCGCCTGCCGTTTTCTGCTTGCACGTGATGGTGCGGCTACTTCCCAAATACATCTCCCACTTATGTTTCATGCTAATTCCTCAGCATTCTAACCTGGCAGACGGTACCCGTATGTCGCAATCAACGTGCCCAATCACTATTACTAGGCTGTCGACTTCTGCCGTACCCTGCATGCAGCCCTCACAGCCAAAAGACCCGCGTAAGCCCTGTTTGCCTAGTTTGCCTTGGATTTCCGGTATGCCTCAACGCGAACAGCCACCTCGAGGCTCAACGCATGCAAGCCGGCTGCAGAGGTCCTTCAAAAAGGAAAGTAGAGGGCGCTCGCCCTAGTCGCTTCACTAAACGCTATATTGTGGCATGCTGCCGCCAAAACTTTGGCTCCTGTACTTACTATCACTCCATCCGAGCCCAGTACTTTACCTCATATTCACACAATTGCCTGGCACTAGTTCCTAGCGCCGACCTCTCAACTTATCACTACTGCAGTCCAACTCCACATGGACAACAACACATACTTTGGTGGGGGCGGCAATATTCGTGACCTGTTCAACGGTCAAGAGATTGGCGTCGACATCAAAGGTCAGAACGCTATCGAACCAGCTTCACAATATCAAAACAACCAGCAGCTACTTTCGCCGACAAAGACACAGCGGCATGATTCGATGATCTCTTGTTCGTCAATAGGCGGCACACCACGGCACTCGATCTCTCACCAGGCTGAGGCTCAGCCTTATGCCAACTTACACCAAGCAGCACACAGCCCCAACGGCTACACACAAGTTCCGGTGAACGGTGACATGTCGCGATCGGCTTCGCAATACTCATCAGCATCTTCCGGTCAGCGTTCATTCTCTCACTCCCTGCAGCGAGCGCCCCGCGGTTCATCTGGAAGTATCTTGGTTCCGACTGGGTCAGCAATGTCCCGCTCCATCTCGAGCGCGTCAGCAAGCCAACGCACGGCGCCTCAGCCTTATCTGTTTCGATCAAACTCCCATTCCGTGCACTTTCGACCCCGACGGTCATCTGACATTTCGCCGAACATGGAATACGAGAATTTTGCAGCGGCAGCGATGAACCCATTCGGATATGCGATCAATGACACCATCGACGAAGGTATGACAGAACATGAGAATGAGAGCAAGGCTTTTGGTCACTTTGGATACGATAATGAGTAAGTTCCCTTCAAAATATTCAGTTTGCGATCAACAAGCCACAGGATTGTATGGAAAAACACCTGGGAAATGGAACTGCTATCTACCCCAAGACCTGGAGACGCCCTGTACCGTTTGGAGGCACTTGATCGTATGATTGGACTCTATACTGGTACCCTGGAACACTCAAGCTGGAGATTCGCATGACTTCAGTCTGTTCGACCAAGGGCCACACACGCATTTGCCTCATGGCAAGTCGCTGCTCATCACACGCAATCGCATAAACATGCGCACTTTGTTTTGACTGAAATTTCCAATCACTCATTCGGCTGACCGTTCCGGAGGTCTACACTGTGAGCTGTGCCCTGTTTTGGTAATATCAAGCGCCTACCTCTCCCACCGAGCAACATTTGAAACGAGAGTTGCTCTAGAAAGGGGATTCTCGAGCGCCGTTAGTCAATCGAGCCATCCGAGTACGTGGCACCGACAACCATTGAACTTCCTGGCCTTATCAAGCAGGTATCAGGCGACGAGTCTAACACGTTCACTACGCTCACACCAAGTACGGCATCAGAGATTCTGTCTCTTGCTTAAAGACCTTTACATCGCTTCTCAGGACCGGAGCCACATCATTTGCTCCAGTTGTTCAACCTGACTGGACCAAATACCGTTACCGTGCTCTGGACAGCCATCAGCCGATGTGCCAACATGAAAGGTAAAGCTTGTCTAATTCTTTTCGTCTGTACTTAGTGCAGCCTCTTTTATTGAGACCGACATTGCGAGAAACCAAGCAAGAGAAGGACAAAATCAAGCTCAGACTAGCGCATGTAATCCTCAAAACGCCCTGCGGCTGGCAGTACTATTTCAAACCTTGCATAGGAAGGACCGTTAAACAACTCCTCCATTGAGTTCCAGGAGTCCCAATGAGCAACGAATTTATGGTTCTTCATCGTGTTGGACTTCGTTACGAAGCGAAACAGTCCAAGATACCGTCTCTTCGCCTTCCATCTGTGGCAGCATCATAGTTGAGCCCTACTCAGCCTGATGGCCTATCGACTGTCTCGCGTGACCATCATGCGCCGTGGACCGTCGTTCTAGTCATCAATTAATTTCTTTTCTGTGCGTCCAATCACCTGGAGCGAATGGAAATCAAGTCTTTTGGTGTTTGGTCTCCAGAGCCGATTCTAACGTCGGCAACACAGGCATTCGGCTCTATTATCCACGTTTTTACCCAACTCTCGTGCTCCACAAGCACCATCTGGCGAACATGCACCGTTTCAGAATCTAACGTAAGCATGAAATCAAGGCCTCTAAGTAATGTAGACTCACCACTATCTAGTCACATAACCCCGCGGTGCCACGTTGTGTCAAAGAGATACTCCCAACCAAGCTCTTGCTCTCCTACCGGGTCCTCACCCGTGAGTCCACAACGCTCAAACAGACGTCGTCGTCGCACATCAGGCTCTCCATCTTCCCATACCGATCCAATCATTGGCCAAGTCACCCTAGCGGGAAAGTTCAAGTGTCTCAACGAAGCCTGTCTCGACGATAGTGACGATCTTACCTTCAATCGCCACGCTGACTTCAAGCGCCACCACGACAACATCCATGCGCGTCGTTCGATTGAGTATTTTTGCCCAGAGTCCGGCTGCGCGCGCTCAAGAAATCCAGTAGGTGGCAAAAAAGGTCGGGGGTTTCGAGGAAGGAAGGATAAGATGAACGAGCATCACAAAGCAGTTCATCATAAAGAGGGCAAGAAGCGGAAGAAGAGTGAAGAGGATGATGACAGCATCGAAGATCAGGGTTGTGATGACGGTGGCGGGTCCCGAAAGCTGAAAGCCACGCGTACGTCTGCAGTATCGTAAGCATCGCGTTGATAGCGGGCCTTCACCTCATACACTCTAGGCTTTGCGGCATTTTTAGAGGCTATCCTCTCGTTTCTGCACCTTTTGTCATGATCGCGCTTTACATGTCGTCTAGTCGACTTCTATTGTGTATTAAGTAGCTCATCTAAGTTCTCTACAGTTCATGGAAGAAAAACATTGGACAACATCATTACTGAACCCAACCTCCCTTCTTCATCTCCTCCTTGGTATACTCTTCCAATCGCTCCGCAAGCTGCGCATCCTTTGCAGGCCCGCTCTGGCACGTTGGTTCGCCAAAGCGACCAAAAATCTCAAGATACCCGCCGCTCTGCTCTGCCTTCATACTATCACCCGCAACACAGTAAAGACTATTGTAAGAGCCCTTATCTGCCGACCAGAACATGCCAGATTTACGAAGCACGGTAATGACACCCGTCATAGCGAAGTTCGATTTGTTCACGCCCTCTTGAAGATTGGTTTCGACGAGCCCCGGATGCACACAAGAAGTCCAGATTTCCCCCTCGTTGTTGGTGGCGCTTGGTGATCCTGGGCCATACGCCCTGTGAAGCGACTTGGTGTGCAGGACGTTAGCGAGCTTACTCTGGCCGTAGCGAGCCATGTCGCCCGCATCTTTCAGCGCGGGGTTCTCGAAGTTGATTCCACCTTTTGGCGCTTGCAAGTGCCCGGACGAAGTGAGGTTGACGACGCGCACGCTTCCGGGTGGAAGCGTCTTGGATGTTGCCAGCATCAAGGGTGAGAGATGGTGCGTAAACACCCAGTGCGACAGGTAATTGGTCTGCCACTGTGCTTCGTGACCGTCCTTGGTCAGCTCGAATGGCGTTGCCATAATGCCGGCGTTATTGACTAGGCCGTGCAGCGCGGTCTCGAGTGTGAGAAAGCGTTGCGCGGCTGCGACAACGCTGCTGAGGTCCTTGAGATCCATTTGTAGAAGATGGATGCGAGCGGAGGGGTGCATCTTCTTGATTCCGGCTATCGCTTCTGTGCCCTTCTCCACATTGCGAGCGCACATGTATACGTGCGCGCCATGCTCTGCGAGATGGGCTACGGTGTAGTAGCCTCTGTTTAAGGGATTGTCAGTTGAACAGGATCTTGACCAGAAGTATGAGCGATACTTACATGCCTGAGTTTCCTCCTGTTACAATGAACACTTTGTCTTTGAGATCAGGGAGAGCGTTGGGGTTGAAAGTTGTGTTAGGCATGTCGGAAGATGAAGCGATGGATGTCTAAGTGTGCTGCGTTCCATTCTCAGATGCGAGGACATGAAGCATTAAATAGAACAATAAAGACGGTATTTGGACATGCGACGTCCTATATCCGTGCCGGACGAGGAACAGTTGTCGCGCAAAAGGTGCAGACGTTGGGGCGCAGCGAGTAAGCCAGCTCCAACATGTCTATAGCCTACGGTCCAAATGCCCGGAGAAGACCACAGTATATTGAGAACTTCAGGTCGACGCGCAGAGCACGCTCCCTACGTACGAGCATGGTGTGGGAGGTTCACCTATCATTTGATGGAGAGAGATAGGGTATTCGGTAAACGAACTTCGGCGGACGAGAGTGGCCGGATGTATTAAGCTTGGGGGCCAACTTGACGACTGTGTACGAGCGGACTAAGCCTTGCGGGGCGCAGACGGGGTTGTCCGCGTCGCGTACATGCATGTCAGCTTAAACGAGAGACTCTCACGCGTGCGCGGACACTTCTCGCGTATCTCATTATTACATCCACTGCAAAGCGCTTTATACTAGATACTAATTTGAAAAATACCTTTGAATATCTTCTACAACGAACTCTACAGACAGATTAATTACTCTGCTAAGACTCTGTTAAACTATACTATTACCTAATATATAAAGTACTTAGTAAGAGAGTAACACGAATAAGTAGGTAACTACGCTAGCGAATAGGTTAGGTATACCTAGACCTAGGTAGAGGTTAGATAGAGGTTGCACGGACAATTAGATAAGGCTAAGTATAGAGTTGCTAAGTGTAAGAGGCTACGCTTAGAGAGCTACTATATAGGTATACTAAAGTTGTATTTAATAGAGTACTAAGATCTAGATTACGTAGTGCTTATATACAAATACTATAAGTAGTAGAGATAGTCTATTACCTAAGTAATAATTAAACTAACAGAAAAACTAAGGTTAGAGACATAAAGAAGAGAAGTTAAATATTAAGATTATTCTATAAGTTTGTTCTTAGAGATAAGTAAGCAAGGTAGAATAGAGTAGTATACTAGCATAATTAGTAGATTAATATAATAGTATAAAAGTGTAATAGTATAATTAGTAGATTAATATAATATTATAAGATGTTTATAGAAAGAAGTATAATTCTTAGATTAAATACTAAAGTCTTATATAAAGTTAAATATACTAAACTATAGAGGTATAGTGTCTAAGCTATATACTTATATAGTAGTTATAGTAACTTCTAATAATAGTAAATATAACTTTCTAGTAGTAGTTATAATAGTTATAATTACTTTTAGTAATAGTTTTTAGTAAAGTAAGTAATTACTTTTAGTAGCGTAATTAGTTATATAACTACTAATAATTATTACCTTAGAGAATTATTATTCTAGTTCTAAGTTATGTAGCGTAGTTACAGCGTAGTTATTAGTATTTTAACTCTAGGTTATAATACTATTTTCTCTTTCTAAGAATCTATTCTTAAATTACTTAACTTTAGCCTTATCTAGCTTATAAGTAGAGTTACTTTACGCGTGTTATAAGCTCTAGAGGTCTACTATATTATTTAAGTTTTATAAATATTAGATCTATCTTATTTAAGAAATTCTTAAAGCTAATTTTATTTCTAATATTACTTATAATAAGTATTTTATTAATAATTAGCTTTATTATATTATGCTGAATACCTCTCTTAAATATATAGAATATACTTGTCTTAGCTATTTATATATTAATATGTTTTAGGCCTCTCTAGATAAAACTTATAAGAAGGATTAAGTAAAAGTAGATAAATATAAAAAGTTATTAGTAGAGGTAATTACGCGTTTACTACGTAATAAGAAGATACTAGCGTAGGCTAATAAGTATATATAGAAGAAGGCGCTATGTCTTATAATAGAGATAGAGGTAGAGAGTAAGAAAGTTAACGCAAAAAGTCTAGACTATCTAGTAGCTTCTATTAGAATAGTATTTTTACTTATAATATAGTCTACTTTAGGTAGTCTTAATACTATAGTAGCTTTATATAGTTATACTTAGTTCTCTAGTAGTACTTTATAAAGTGTTAATAATAATTTATAAGATTTATGTCTAGTTTTTTTATAGCTTAGTTTTTATTATATTCTAACTATTTAATTAGGTACTCTATTCTATTACTATCTTATTAGTGTGCGAGAATTTTTTTTACTTTATAGACGTTATCTTCTTCTAATTTAAAGTAGAAAGTTTTCTATAGTAGCGTTTTAGAGTATACTAGTTCTGATATCTTAATATAGAATTATAGGTAGATTTTTGTATTAGGTAGAAAGTTAAGTATATAAGTAACTAGGCCTTTTCTATTAAGAATTAAAAATAGTCTAATCTTAACGTTGTTAAGTCTTTTATTAGGTTGCTTAGTATAGAGATTCTTTATAAGTAAATTAACTTTATCTCTCTTTTTTAGCTAAGGTGCTGTTTTTTATTTTTTATTAATATATAAAATACTTTAGTATTATACCTTTTTAAGTTTCTTTTTAAGTAACTTATATACTATCTTTAGCTTATCTATAGTAGTAATAGCTATTTCTATTTTTAGACTAGAAAATATGCGTATAAAGAGATTTAGGTGTTTTTTTATAGTTTATATAGAATAGAGTTTATTCTATAGACTTAGAAAGTTTATTATTATATACTATCTAGGCTATAAGTAATAGTAATACCTAGTTATTTTACTATTTATCAGCGTAGATACGTAAATATACTTTTATTATATAATTTATTTACTTAGTCTATCTATCTATCTATAGATAATAAGCTATTAATAGCTTTCTTTACATTCTAATAGTAGCTAGCAAGGTAGTCTAAAAGTTTAAAGTAAAGAGCTTATCTCTATTACTAATAATTAACTTTAGAATGCTATAGTATTAGATAATATAATTATTAATAATATATATAAGCTATACTACTATAAAGTCTTTCTTAAAGGTAATGTGCTTAGCTTACTTTATAAAATAATTAACTACTATAAAGATTTTATTTTAAAACACTTTAGTTATAAAGTCTCTTATTACTAGTAGGCCTATTATGAAGTTTATAGAGATATCTAATTAAAGCTAGTTAGGTAGCTCTATTACTTACATTTCTCTATAGAGTGCGTAAGTACTATACTTATTCTTTTAATAGTCTGCGCACTTAGCTATAAAGGTAGTAATCTTATCTTTTATATTTAGAAACTTATAATTTTGTTTAATAAGCTTTATTATTCTAGTAATACTAGAGTTGCTATATATAAAGTTATTATAGTGTTATTTAATAATTACTTCTTGTAATTCTTTTAGTACTATACTAGTAACTTATATAAGTAGGTTTAGTGTCTTAGCTAGTTCTATTAACTAATTATTATTAACTTTAAGTATTATAGTATCTATAATAAACTTAGTTCTTATAATATTATGTCTTTAGCTAAGAGTATTAGCTCTACTATTTTTTTTTAAGTGTATATATAATCTTAAACTTATACTATCTAAGTTCTTTAGACTATTAAACTTATTAATAGTTAAAAACTTTAGTAGTAGTAAAGTTTACTAAGTTTTTATAATCTATAAATATTATAAGCTCTAAGTAGCTTTTAGCGTATACTCTCTAATATTTTAGATAAGTAATAATAGCTAGAAGCTCTTTATTATAAATGTTATAGTGTTTCTCTAGTTCTAAAAACTTACGTAAGTAATAGGTAATTAGATACTATTTACCTTTGTATAGCTTACTAGCGCAGCCTCTAAGTGTAAAGTCTAATACGTTAGTCTTAAAATATAGTAGTTATTCTATTTAGAATATATAGAAGTATAGTAAGGTAATACTTATATTTTTAAGCATTTAGAAAGTATCTTCTACTTTTTTACTCTGTATAAAAGGCGTATTCTTTTATATAAGCTTTATTAGAGAAATAGCTATTATAGAGTAGTTTTTAATAAACTATTAATTAAAGTTTAGAAATTCTAGAAAGAACTATATTTTTTTAACTAAGGTTAGTTAAGGCTATTTCTTAATAAGCTTAATTTTTTCTTTACTTATATATACACTATTAATTCTTATAATATAGCCTAAGAAGTTAATTTCTTTCTAATAGAATTTATACTTCTTTAGCTTAATTTATAAGTTATACTAGTCTAGATACCTTAGCACTATATAGATATATTTAATTTAATCTCCTTTATTTATAGAGTAGATAATTTCTTTTAGGCCTAAGAGATAGAGTCTATAGTATACTTATTTTAAAATTACGTAATTACGCGATAACGCAGTACTATATTATCTAATAGTAATCTTAAAAATCTCTAATATAAGTATAAATTTGCGCCTTATTATAATACTTATACTTGTACTACTACTACTACTACTACTACTAACACAATAATTACTATACGCGCAATTGCAACGCGCTAACAACTTTATATTTATTATATATAACTAATAGTTATCTAGGTTATTAATTAGTAGTAGTAGTAGCACTAATACTAGCTCTATGTAATTGCGTAATACTAAAAGAAAACCTAGTAAGTCTACCTACACTAGTACAAAGCCTCTAAGATAACCTAAGACACTTATATAATTACTAGTAACTTATATTCTATGCGCAATTATTTATAAGCCTAGCTATATTAGTAGTAGCTATATTGCGCAACTGCTATAGCTACTATCTATATTTACTATTATCTACCTACTTATTCTCTATCTATATTTATAAGTTCTCTAGTTCTTTACTATAGCTATAAAGATAATAGAATACTACGCTTAAAATTATATATTACGTAAATATAGTAAAGGACTTTTAGCTTCTATCTCTTATAAAGGTCTTCTAAGGTAATCTTAATAAAGTCTTTTTTCTAGACTATTATTAGAACTTATATATTAAGAAGTTTCTTTTTAAGATACTAGAGTTACTATAGCTATACTTTTATAAAGGCCTACTTAGTAGCTAAGAGGTCTAACCTCTATTTTATAAGCACTATGTCTACTAAGAAGATAATAGCTACTAATATAGTATTACTATATAGCTTATCTAGGAATTTCTTATTATTAATATTAAAGTTAGTGCTATAAGTATAGCTAATTTAGCTACTAGTGTACTTTAGCTTAACTTTTCTATTAAGAATAACTTTCTCTAGCACATTACTTAGACTATAGTAGTAGTTATTTACTATTTTCTAGGTAGTAGGCTATAACTTATAATTAGAGTATATACGCTTAAGTATTAGACGTAACTTATAGTTTATATTAATTGTATTATTATTATTCTTAGAATTAGTATTAGAATTAGAATTAAAGATATAGAATAAAGAGAAGTATCCCTAGCGTAAGAGAGAGATTTTATACTTTTATAGCTACGCTCTTCTAACTCTAAACTAGACTCTTATAGAAATCTCTAGACTTATAGTACTATAGTTTAACTTAATCTTTAACTAT